TGCAGACCTTATCTTTGCCTAGGCTGTGCCCCAGGGCAAGATGAGGCAGCCTGTGCTAAATTAGTCACTATATGTGTGTGTGTTGCTACACTTTTAGCTCCTGCCAAAGGGAGAAATGGCATTACAGACTAAATGCAAGTGGTCAGATCTAACCCAACACCTTCAATGCTCTGACATACATCATGTCTTCAGCTTGGTTTTAGCACAGAGCACTGAGGGTGTAATGTCAACATTAGCATGATTAGGACAAGTTCTGCTGTATAAATAAAAAGTACTGTTGCTGAGCTTCCCATGCTTCAGCTTAGCTTATTCGGTAAGCATAGACCTACCAAACATGACAGGTGGTAAAAATATAGCCTAGCATGCCTCATGCAGGAAATTCTTCTCTGTAAACCGTTATTAGTAAACTGCCCGCAGCTTATTTACTGCCTTTTTGTGTATGGGGGGGCCTTACCTTCTTTGGAATGGAAAGATAAGTGAAAATGATTGATTGTATCCAAGTCGTTTGTCATGCGCTGACAGTCCTGACAGCGCAATGGATGGCTTTCTCATTTGACCTCCGAGAACCTCAAATGAAAACAATATTGCACTTGCAGCCACTGGCCCGCTCTGTTAAGAGTTTATGATGTAACACCGTTGGTAGGTGGTTGACGGATTGACTGGCGCGTCAGCTGTGACGAGGCAGCGGGTCGTTGATGTGTCCCTCGCTTCATTTGACTCCCACGTCAATCTGTCCTCCATCCAGCTGGAGAGTGGAGAGGTGGAAGGACAGGAAGACGAAAGATACCCCAGGAAATAAATGAAGGAATAAACGACAGAGAGAATAGATCTTCTGTGATAGATAGAGAAATGAATAAGAGACACATCAGAAATTCAGAGGGGAATTCGGGAAGAAATTGATTGTTGGTTTGCCACTTGTAATGAATAACACTGACATAGCCCTTGATAGAGGGCCTGTATGTAATGCATTACCCAGGGTCTCTATAGGAGCATTAAAACTTGTTGACAGACTTACAGAAATATTGAGGTCAGGAATTATTACTCCTATCTGTTATCATGTATATGACAATTTCACTTAATTCGCTAATTTAGCTTGCAGTCATCTAAAGAACTTGCTGATATTTAATATGACACACTGTTGTAAGCAGCTATATGCATGAAAAACAACTTGCAATGTTCTATTGAAAATGGCCGAATAAAATAACAATGTATAAATTCAACCACATACTTCCATCTCCCCGCCCAACATATTGATGCACCGCCATCACTGTGCCAAACTAATGCACAAAGTCACAACAGGGAAGGAGAAAAAGACGAAGCCAGCCTGGGGCCAGAAGAGAGGAGATAAGAGGAGTTCAGTGTGCCCGACAGGCTGTGAGCACGATCGGCTATCACTTTAATTCCTCTCTCTGTTCAGTGCAGTGCTGGAGTTTGGCTGCAGGTGGAATCCCTGTTTAATTACAAGTGGAGCGACATAAATAGAGTAGGATAAAGAGAGGAATAGAGTTGAGGCAGAAGAATTAGCTAATAATAAAAGTCTCTGCTGATTTATTAAATGATCAATTTCCCACTGCAGGTTGACTGGCTGGCCTCTGGCGTTATGTAAGGAGGAGGGGAGACATAGAGGAAAGAAGAGAGGAAAGAAAAACAAAGTCAAGCTTTATCATCTCCTCAGTGAGATGATGAAGATCTTGAAGTGTAAATTATGAATACACTTAAAAGGAACACTCTTCCTCCTCGCTCCGCTTGACGTCCATTTTTCACAGATACAATAGAATAGCACACACTTAGTCTATATATATATATATATATACTGTATATATAATTTGATGCCACTGTGCCGCCACGGTAAATGCTCAAGTGCGTCTTCATCTCTCTCCCCACACATTAAGGCATCAAGTACCCCTGTGATCTTGGCCTTTTTTAAAAGCGTGATTATATTCAGCAGCTTCCATCTCTCCCTATTGTGAAAGGAGGGAGAGTGCAGGGTGTAATGGCTGTCATTTGCTCACCTGAAACAGGAGGGGATTATAAATGCCGTGCACCCCATCCTTTGTATTTATCCCTGCTGATATGATAGCCCAGCCATAGTGAAGAGACAGTGAGCCATAATGGCTGCCTCTCTGGCAAAGCCCAGGAAGAAGATTGCATGAAATGAATGTGATATCGAGATGAGAGAGACAAGGGGTGCATTGGGTCGTTTAGCCACCAAATCCCTCCATTTTTTTTTATAAAAGAGGGGACACAAGTGTTGCCTTCTTGAGTGTGTGTGTGTGTGTGTGTGATAGAGATAGAGAGCAGAGGTTTTGTAGAGATGATGAATGTATGATCTTACACACCTCAGAGCGTCTGAGTGACAGGGAAAGACAGACAGACAGAGGGAGAATGAATGATATCAGGATCCGCGCTCTGGAACAGAGGATTCTCATTGGCAGCCATCGCTTCTGCTGGGCCTGAATGCGGTGTGTGTTTGTCTTTGTGTGTGTTTTATCTGCTGAGAAAACCATTTCCCCAGATGCAGGCATCAGAGGCCTTGATAGGCATCAGGAGGTCCATTCCATTCTAAAAGTCTAAATCCGTGTGTGTTTTTGTATGTGTGTGTCCATGTGGGTGGTGTGTGTTTTGGCATATCTGCCACCGATAAAGTGTTAAATTATAAAGCGTTCAGATATGGGGGCATTGTTTGCTACAGTTCTGTGTGGGTGCTTAGCTTTTATGACAGATCACGAGGTGAGAAACCACTCGATGCGGTGACATGGCTACATAGATTACATAAACACACAGACACACACGTATGCAGGGAGATTGTGGTTTCATACACTCACGATAAGGGATTTGGCAGCTGCAATCCCTCCATAGGCTAACCCACCTTTCTCTTCAGTGACTTCATATAGCCAGAGGTAGCTGAGGCAGTGGTGGATCTTAGGAGGAGGAGCATGAAGAAGAGAGGGAATCTATCATGTGACATGCACTGAAGATCAGTGTTGAGTTTGATGCACACACGCTTGTGCCACTATCTCTCTGATTCAATCTGAAACTCATTCCCTTTATCTACCTAATGCAAATACGCCTCTACACAGAAGTGAGGGCCACACACACACACCACACACACACACACACACACACACACACCACACACACACACCACACACACACACGACCACACCACACACACACACACACACACACACACACACACACACACACACACACACACACACCACACACACACACACACACACACACACACACACACACACACACACACACACACGGCTGACAGAGATTCATTTGTATTGTTTTTAATCTGTAGCATACAGGATTCCTCTTGACTTTGATAAGAAGATGCGCCCCTCTGAAATCATTCAGCTGTGTGTGTGTGTGTGAATCTGTGTGTGTGTGTGGGTTTATGTCTGTGAGTATTCTATTTTAAGTACCCAGAAGAGAAATAAATGTAGAGAGTGTGAGGGAATGTTGTAGTGGTGTGTTTTCTAGAGGATCTCCATCGTGTCAGTTTCTGACTTCAGTGATAGCATGTTGGAGAAAGAGAGATCAGACACACTATCAGGCAGAGATTTGCTTTTTGATAGTCTGTGCGTCCAACAGAGAGAACCTCCATCAGGGCCAGGCTGTGCAGAAGAGATCCTCTACGCATGGGCGTTTCTGACCTCTAGTTACGTTCAGTCATGCCCTACATTGGATGGTTTAATTATGGTCCTTTTTATACCCTCCATAGGGAATTTAGCCAATACAATGTGCTGTGAAGACCTCTATAATTATATAATGTATACTCTGAAGTACAGATGAAGAACTTAAAAAAATGTATGAGGGGCTATAAGGTGAAGAAAACTTAGATGACTTCAGCTAATTTCATCAAAGCCTTTAAGCAAGACACTGTATTCACATGTTCCCCATTAATATACAGAGGTGTTACAAACATGTTCTGACCTACTGTAATATTGTAATATGACTTGCAGGGTTACGTTTGTCCAATTCCATGAGAAGTAGCTAAAAAGAATAAATAGATGTGTGATAATCAGCTTGTAAATGTGCGTCCTTCATCAGATTTTTTTATAGTAAGTAGAACTATGGCCCGTGTTTGTTTAACTTGACATGTGCACGAGTGTTTTAAACCAGTTAGTATAACCAGGTGGATTTCAAAATCCTGTCTCTAAGAATAAACATGTTTTCAAGTATCATATAGTATCTCTTCAACATAGGTGACAGAGAAAGAGAAGTACTTGTTTACCTAAATCTAAAACTTTTATTTTAGGACTTATATGTGCAGGCCTGCACACAAACACAGACACATACACACAGAGCCGTATCCCTCATAACAACCCAATATCAGTCTCATAATGATGATGTCGTCTCTCGTTCCCGGCTGTCATCGGTGAGCAGCGTGAGTGACAGCGGTCATCCACCAATGACGGCTCATTAATCAAAAGTGCCAGCAACACCTATTATTGCACCATGCTGTTACCATGGTGACAGGAGGAGGGGACGGCTGAGATGTACCTCAGCTTTGCCCCTTGTGCTCGGTCACTCAGGGCCCATGCCAATCAGTGCCAGTCAACGCTAGTTTGAATTGGCAGGGCTATATATCACAATACAGGGACTACTCTCCCAATATTCCATAGCTAGGGGGGGAAGATGCAAACTGTCAACAAGTTACATTTTAATGTTAACGATTGCTCTTTCAATTCTCACTGCATATACGGTTTTTGTTTGTTTTTTCAGTTATGTATATGGCTCTAGATTTTGTTAGAACATTTGGAAACTACCAACACAGCTACAATGATGTCAACTATCCTGAAAGTCTAGTAGAGACCATCTTAAACATTTACAGTTATTATGTTGTTTTATTTATCCAAGATGCAAACAGTTTGATCCCTTAAAATCATTACATTTCTTTTGAATTTCACATTACTTGTCTGTTTTCTTTGTTTAACTGTGAACGACTCCACCATATGTAATGATTGTCCTATGTTTCTCTGCAGCTGTCAAGGGTGCCAGTGGAGGCCTGTGGTCAGTACTCAACATGCAGTGAATGTCTAGGATCTGGAGACCCTCACTGTGGCTGGTGTGTCCTGCATAACATGTAAGTACTACTGCTGTGATAGATGTCCACACACACATACAAACACGTATACAACTCACAAACATCTGGGTCTATCATGCTTTCATTTCTTAGGCATACAAACACCATTTCCAAACTCCACCATACATACTAACCAGACAGTCTGGGGGGTGCTGTGTTTGTCAGCCTCCCTCACCTCCATGACGCCTGGGCCCATGCCCAGCACTCTCTCCCTTGCAGCCCTTGAACATTCAGGGAGTCCTCCAGCCTGCCCAGGCCAAGTCTCAGATTGCCTTCCTTGGGCTCGGCCTTGTGCCAGCAGCCCCCTTAGATCCATTACCAAACCTGCCCACCGGCATTGTTTACCAGCCCTGAAACCAGAGCCTGGTGAGAGCCCAGACAGAGCGGGCACTGCCAGGGTCTGATGGGCACCACTCCAAACTCATTGACACCAAGAGAGTGTTAGCTTCTGTTATTGACACTGAACAGGAAACTGTTGAATGAGATCTACATTTGTTTACGCTTTGCTTTACCATTAGGCCTGTCTGCATGTCTTTCTGTCATCCTCTCTTTACCGTGCACAGAAACACACGCAAAGAAGCACACATATTCACATACACTCAAGCTGCTGTCAGAGCCCTGTCCCTTAAGATTGGAGTGGGAGATAGAGCTGGCTGGGGACAGGGAGATTTCCCTCTGCACTGTAAATTGAAAATTGGTTTCTTGTGTTGTTGATAGCCTTTGGGGGGTGTGTGTGTGTGTGTGTGTGTGTGTGTGTGTGTGTGTGTGTGTGTGTGTGTGTGTGTGTTGTGTGTGTGTGTGTGTGTGTGTGTGACTGAGTACATTTAGCACCTTCATCCCTGCTGGCACAGAGAATACATGGCGAAGGCAGAGAATCAATGTGAGGGTCAGACAAAAATACAAAAAAAGAGCGACAGTAAAAATGAGATTAATAGGGAGGTGACAAAGGTATAGAAGTTGAGAATAGACTAGTTACTTCTGGAAGCAAACTTCTAAGAGAAAAGAGCTGTGAAAGAGGGTTGAAATACAATAAATGTACAGAGATCTGAAAAGGGTCTTTGTGAGAAAAAGAGTTTGTGTGCAGCTAAGGAAAGAAGGAAGGAGAAATGGAGGATAAATGTGTTTGGGGTCTCCAGGGCAGAAAGTGCATTAGCAGACAGAGGACATACTCTGATGGGTTATGGGTCACCAACCAGAGGTTAGAAGCAAAGAAACACACGCACACACACGCCCACAAAGCATGAAAGTGTAATGCAACAGTCCATATTCCTGTGTTTATCATAATTCTAGTATTAAAGTTTAAGGGTGTATTCTTGCAGATAATTTAATTTAAAAGGAGTTTGTCTAAAGATAAAGGAGCAGGATCAATGAAAAACTAATTTAGGGCCATCAGTGAGCAGCCATGCAGATATTTTCAACTTGGAATGTACTTGCAATTTCAAATATTAAGTGTGTGTGACTGTATGTGAATGTGTGTGTGTGTGTGTGTGTGTGTGTGTGTGTGTGTATAAAAATCCATTAACACCCTGGACATCCTCCCAGTCAGAGTAAATGGGTGGCTACAGATTGGCCTGTCACACTTAGCCTGATGGAATCAGCTCACCTCAGCTCACCCCTACTTCACTCGCTTACACATAAAGGCAGGCACACACACACACACACACACACACACACCACTTTCTTGCTCTAGAATTAGTGTGAAAATACCAAAACGAGACTAATGCCCAGAGAGAGAGAAAATATCCAAAATTCCACTTAAGTTGATTTTAGGTGCCTGGGTATTTGCCCATCACAAGGGCAGAGCGGGAGATTGCAGGTGCTAGCACACAAGTAAAATGCTCAACCCAGTGTGATTGATCCACCACAGGTTTACCTTTCCCAGAGTTCCTTTCTCCTCAATTTCTAAGGTTGTGAATTCTTAACAGGCCTTTGGTGTAACTGAAGCCCCCCGAGCGACACCCCTCCAACAAGGGAGCCAGGCTCCTGCTGTTATAACTCCTGCTAACCTGCTCCTGTTATATTACACCTGTTCATCTGAGGCATCTGATACATTTGTTTAAGCTCCATTTACTTACGTTTACATCATATGAATAGCTATTTACCCAATAATTGGCTTCCATGATAATTCACATCATACTGACGTAGCTAATGCTAAAAGACAGTGGGAGGCTAACTACTTAATGACTGCTACTGTATACTGGATGTGCACTGTGCCAGTCACACATGCAAATGAAGAGCAGAATCATACAACCCACACGGTCACATCTACAGTTTTCATCTAGAGCTTTGCTCAGTCATAGCTTGAATTGATTGACCTGACATCCCAGAATGTAGCCTGAGGGAAATCCAATGAGCGTCAATCACTTATTAATATTGATCACTAATTGAGCATTAGTGATCCATCAAATCACTATTTCGTATTCAAATGTAGTATAGTTTTGTTTATTATCAATGTAATGCTATCAGGTGAAATGCTTTCCAGATCTGGCCATGGTTAAAGATTTTTCTAAAAAGAAAAGAACATTGCAAACAGGCACCCTGTCGAGTACACTAACTACAGTGCATATTAAAACTAAAAGCAAAATGGCCAAATCACAAAGAACTCCACACACACTCTCCCACACGTCGTGCTGGAAGGAGTGGTGTGGAGTGGAAGCATAGCATGTGGTTCATCTTCAAAGTGTTCTTCCAGATAGTTTGTTGTTTCCAATCAACCTTGAAATCACCTCACTGCTCTGAGAGCAAACAGAATTGCTCACACACTCACACACTCTCTCCCTCTTCCCCTATCAGCATTGCCTTTATTTACTCTATAGATCGGTGAGAGGCACTGTTAGAGAGAACACCAGGGGAAGAGGAGGAAGGCAATCAATAGTACAGGGAGGAAATCAGTGGATAGTGCCTGTGTGTGTGTGTGTGTGTGTGTTTGTCTTTGGTTGTCCTTCGTCCTTGAAGAACAGTGGCCAATTATTTAAAAAGGCAAATATCCTAATTATTTAGACATATTGCCCTTCTTCCTATCATCTGTATATGCCCCTTTTATATGTTTTGGGTCCATTAGGAACCTTTGCACCAGACAGCCCCCCTGCAGATAGCCCTGCCACTATTCCAGTAAACCTGAAGCCTCACCTGTCACCAAACTGTCTCGGCCTATCAAACTTGCACTCTCTTCTGCGGAGATGCATGACTAATGCCAATGCCATCGAGCTCGGCAGGCGAAAGGATAGATTTAATTCACACCACCCCCCCCATTTCATCATTCCCCTGCTCTTTCCCCAGTGGCATTGGATGTCTCCTTCAACCAAAGGAGATTCTAATATAGGACTTTATAGACAGTTACCAGTAAGGCAGTATGTAGGTGTCTGCCTGTACTGCAGCAAACATAAATACATACATACTCATGTATGTTCTGTATGTTAAAACAAATGTTATCAATAACAGTTGTATTCTGTATATTCCATCCTATTTGTCTGATATATAACACATTTTTGTACTTTTTGTAACACTATATAAAAAACACTTTTAGGTAACTCTGCTATGATTGACGAACTTGAATAATTTCCTTGCATTTAACTTTGGTTTGGTGCCTGACAATAGTATGATGTGGCATAATCATAGTTCCCCAATGAGCCTATACACCAGACATATTCCAGCTAATGTGAGATATGGATGTGTTACCTCCCCTAATGCCTTTCTGTCAGCTGTCAGTTTTGTTAATGGTTAACTCAGCTGTCTCCTCCTCTCATGCATGACATCCAGACAGATTGGAGACCATTTTTGGAGAAGTAGCTTTGTTAAAAGGAATGTCATCATATTTGGCATGGATGTTGGGAATATCGCACACACTCTGCGATATCAGTGTCAATTTGGAACAATTGGTGCTAATATCTTCACATTAATAATTGGTTTGACATATCTCAATCTCTGCTCTTGGCTGCGATAGGGGGAATAATCCCAGGGTGCCAATATCATTTTCTCTTTCTCACTTTTTCTTTTCTTCTTTACTTCCCACCCTTTTCTTCTCTTAACTATAATTCAAATCACACCCACATATCTCCAGCAGGCTTATCATACACTGCATTTTAATGTGTATGCGTGTGTCTGCACATACTAACTGTGGATCTTTGATTCAATGAATCCACACGTAATCAGTATATATGTTTATATCTTATCAGTTTGTGTATTTAGGCTCATTTTTGCTTGTGTCAGATCCCAATATGTTGTGTTTTCAGAGAAATATTTGCCCATAAACAGCATCCCTCTCCTCCTACCTCCTTCCGCCTCTGCCTCCAAACACTCGTAAACATCGATCCCTCCTTCCTGGAGTGGAAGTAGGACTGTAAAGTTGTCTGTGCCACTGGCCAAAAGCAAATACCTTTTCCTAGTTCTTTAGAGCAGGTCGGTCTATACCATCAGTAGTAAACTGTGATATAGAGACGTCCTTATGAATCAGTGAACCTCGGCGACCACATGTTCTGAGATATTCCTGAAGTCAGCCCGTACAGTACAGCCTTCTTTTTAACATGTACAGAGAAGAGACATCAAAATGTTGTATTTCCGAGTCACACAACTGTGTCTTAAACATGTGTGCAAGCTTATTAGGATGATACAAAAAGGTTCAAGCAGTCACAAGTAAACACACAAAATGGCTGGTAAAACTTGCAAGTCATGTTGCATAGCTCCCTGTCTTCTTAATCCTTTGTTTTCCCAAGACATATTTGGTGCTGTCAAGTGAGTAACCTTTTCAGAGGGGGAAAAGCTAATTGGCAGATCTATCGGATGTTTTTTTTCTTACTTGCTCTGCCCCTCTCTCTCTTATTAATTCTGCACCGCTGCTACCTGTCGCTGTGTTCACAGTCATCTGTTACTTCAGTGTGCTCATTACTGCGGTATGCCACACCAATGCTAATTAAACTGCAGCGCCACAATTAGCATGCTACCAAGGACTCTTGTTTGGTTGTTGTTTGGCACTGGCCTCCCCCTGGTGATAGCTGCAGTGC